GAGTGCAGAGGAGGCACCACCGCACATGGACTACGAGAGCGGTCAGATGGCACTGGGGAGCTTGATGTTGATGTTGCAGTGTCGACGCTATCGCGACATGAGAGAGACTGGAGTTTCGTCACGGTGAATATCACGGCGGCGCAGAAGGAAGCGGCCAAGATGGTGCTAGCAGCGACTGAGATCACAGAGATGTTTCCCAACACGGATGGCATTTTGTTTCAGGAGCACAAGATTCTCAAAGGTAACACAGGAGACGCACAGCTGCGTCTACAGCATCAAGGTTGGAATTGCCACATACCATGTGCTTACAAAGGTGAAGGACATGCCGCCAGCTCTGGAGTCGCGGTTGGAGTCAGACAAGATATTGCGTCGGCGGTGCCGCCTGATCTTGGGGGAGTCTGTGCACCGCACTGGAGATGGGCTATGCAATGGGTCGATGGTATGCTGCCAGGTGGGTTCATTCTTGCGTCCATATACTTGATATCAGGGCACAAGGCGCGTGACTACGAAGATGAGAACAAGCGAATCATCATGCTGGTGATGGAGCAGCTGCAGAGGCTAGGCAGGCCGTTAATCATAGGCGGGGACTGGAATATGACTCCTCAAGAGCTCTCCGACCTTAACATTCTTGCGCAGGCACCAGCGATGATAGCAGCTCCTACGCAATGGACATGTGCATGTGGAGAGGGACGAGTGCTTGACTACTTTGTGGTAAGCCAGCATTTCAAAGGACTCATTATGGATGTGGCCAGGATCGAGGGGCTTTCGATAGCGACGCACTGGGGTGTTCGGCTCTCGCTTCGTGTGGGGCCAGGTGCAGCGCTTGTGCAACAGCTCAAGGTTCCAAAGAAGTTGCCCAAGGTATGCCCGCTAGGAGCAGCGCCCCCGCCGCCATCATATCAGCCAGTACAGCGTGAATGTGAATATGCGACAGACCGTGAAGACCTACATTGGTGTTTCTCCCAATGACATGCTTTAGCTGACCAAGAACTTGTTCGCCGATTTCAACTAGAGGGTCGACGCGGACGAGCTTGCAGGGGGCGAGCACAGTTCACAGAGCCCGAATTCAAGATGGTGGCTGCGGTCCGCAAAGCGCCAGGTCACTCACCTCCAGGAGATCCAAGGTCCAGACAGTGGAGGCGTGCTTCAATGGCCATGGTTGATCTCATGCATGCAAGCAAGCGGAGTTGGCCCACAGACTGCAAATTCATTCAAGACAGGTTCAACACCATGCAGAACCTCAAGAGCAAGAGGCTGGACATGGGCGAGGCTTGGGACATATGGTGCTACAGGTATGATAACGAGTTCAGTTGGGACGATGAGTGGTTGCGAGAAGCTAGCTGGACTGCGGCGAAGGAAGCTACTACTTTGGAGGTAAAGTTTGCTAATAGCCGTGTGAAGCAGTGGCGCAAGTTGATTGCGGATGTGATTGAGAAGGGTGGTAAGCAGGCGCACCGTTGGTCTAAGCTACCCGCGATATGGACACAGGCCGACATACACCCCACTCAAGGTGTGAGATCCCATGCGCTTCGCTTACAGTCAGACTTGAAAGAGTGGAAGCAGGTATGGAGATATCAACAGGGAGAGCGAAGTTTTGGAGAAGGTTTACGATTACAGACGCATGACGAGGAGGTGAAGATGTTAGATCCTGCGAGCATCAGGAAGGTGGCCGCTACATTTAAGGTGAACACTGCTTCAGGTATTTGACAACCTAGGCCCGAGGAATGTCGCCTTGCTCTCAGACAACGCGCTCACAGCCTTCGCAGAGCTCATGCACAAGGCCGAGACCATAGGGGAGTTGCCGCCGCAGCTCACCTACAACATCATGCCCCGACTTCCAAAGCCTGAGGGCGGACATCGGCTTATTGGGTTGCTACCTGACCTTCTTCGAGTATACAACAAGTGCCACAAAGCGGACCAGCAGGAATGGCTCAATAAGAATGTCAAGGACTACCATTATGCTGTTGCAGGGCGTAGTTCTGAGCAGGCGGTATGGTCGCAATCACTTCTTGCAGAAGCTGGGCTTGCTCTCAAGAGGCACACAGCAACTGTCATGCTCGATCTCAAGAAAGCTTTTGAACATATTCCCCATGCGACTTTATGGGACGTTGGCTGCCGACATGGTTTCAAGAGGTCAAGATTGGCGCTTTTACTCAAATCGTACGCTGGGGGACGCATGATCAAGTATGGCAACATGGTGTCAGGGGCAGTCAAGACAAATCACGGTGTCATTGCGGGATGTGGTTTCGCGACTACGATGATGATGCTCTTCACTCTAGGTGCTTATGAACAGGTGTACAAGTTGTGGCCGTCACTTAGTCTAACGCAAGTGGTGGATGATGGGAGCTTGCAAGCTACGGGTACTCACGACCAAGTTCTCAAGATCATCATACCAGCTGCCCGCATGCTGTGTAAGGAGTTGGTGGAGCTTGGACTGGAGCTCAGCCCGAGCAAAGGACACGTAATAGCGACCAGCACTGAGTTGGAGAAGCAGATCGAGGCGGCGCTGAAGCAACATAAATTTCGGAGGCGCCGCAAAGTGCGCCAGCTCGGTCATGATCGGACTCTACGACAAGGGTCAGGAGGAGAAGTACAGCATGCTCGGGTACTCGCCACATCAAGAAGAATTTCTCGGTACAGACGGTTGGCTATGGGTGGACGACAGATGGGACGCCTATTCAGAGGAGGAGGTTTGGCGTCAGTTACCTACACGGTCAAGGTGAAAGGTATGTCAGATACACAATTAAAGCAAGTTAGGAGCATAGCTGGTCATGCCCTGTTTGGTTCAGCACGTGGCAGGTGCAGAACCATGGAGTTTCAACTATCCCACTGTCCCCGAGCTGATCCTACCTTTGCGGCGGATGAATATTCTGTGGTGTATTGGCTCAGAGCGATGCACGGACAGTGGGTGAAGCACCGCGCGATGGCCTTGGCCTTTATGCAGGCGCCGAACAACGGTGGTACATGGAGGAGTGTAAGAGGGCCAGCAGGTGCAGTGGTGCTCACTCTCAAGCGACTGGGATGGAAGGCAACGGCGTGGGACTGTTGGCATACCGAACGTGGGATGAAGTTGGATTTACACGACATAGGCCCTGCGACGCTCAAGAAGATAGTCAATCAAAGTACACAAAGACGCCTACTTCGCGAGGTACCACTTTCTAGAGGTATGGAAGGGCTCACTGGCCGGCCTCTGCTTGAACCTGCCAAGCGCT